CCAATATCAATGCTAACTGTGTTCATAATGGAAATTTATAAATGCAATGATATTAAATGCCTCCCCCACAAAGAGGGGGACTTAGGTTTTCCTGCTGGTTGTTCCAGGTCACTTCACAATATAACTCCACAGCAGTAAGAAGAATACTTTGAATTTCTATTTTAAATCTGTAATTTGAAATACCTGTTGAAAACCCTTCAGTCACAGATTTCTACACGGGTATTTGTTTAGTGACAAAAATGTAAGGTAAATCTCTTTTATGGAGTAAGAAATCAGACTGACAGACTGTCAATATACTTTACTTGTTAACAGCTATATGAAGAATAAATAATATAAAATTATAGTTCTATTGAGATTAGAATAATTTAAGAATGATACAAGATAAAAGTTAGATCAGAGAATAATATTCAAGTGATTAAATATTTAAAGAAAATGTAAGCTCATCACGTATGCTATGGACCATACAAATACATGATGACAAGAAAGCAGGCATAGTAAAAAATATTTCTTTCTTTTCTATTCTTTAAAAAATGGCAAGGTTAGCACAAGGAAAGGAAATTATATATGTCCCACAAAACTCAAGTCTCCTAGGTCTATTATTTTTATATTGACAAAAGCTACAGATTTTTAGTTCCCAGCTTGATTTTTCCAATATGTTTTGCATGTCTTCTTTGAAGATCAGGCTTAAGAGACATGAAGAAAGTTGAGTTCATTTTTGAAGACAGCAGTTTACTTTTCAGGAAAGCATTTCATACAATAGATGAAGTCTGAAGTTCAAGCATGTGATTCAGAGACTTTGATGGTTCCATTAGGGGACAATATATCATAGATGCAGTCAAATTATTTTATCCTTACCACTCAGGACAGAGTAAATTCACTTGATGTGTGCAAGACAATAGAGTTTTATTCCAATGACGAGTTTAGCCTGGGGATTATTTCAGGGCTAAATTATTGGCAGAGCATTTTGTTCAAGGTAAGATCTTCCTCTAATATAGCCTACTCCTGAATAGTTGCTTTCCACATAGCATGGTGTGCTATGGCTACATGCATCTGTAAGTGGAAAAGTTTAGGGATTTCTTTGTCCTGAATTTCTTACATGCTTTCAGATGTATCTTTCTAAACAGATGATCGAACTGTGAGGTAACAGATCCTGACTAGACGTTAGACAGTAACACTAAGCTACCAGTGGGGAATATCTTTCAAAAAATGTATTACTACATCTCTGACTCCATCTAATATTCCTTCAGCTACACAGATACTAATTATCTTCAGTTTTGCTTGTCTAATATATGTTATAAAAGGGAATTATTTCTAACTTGTATTTACCTTTCAAATTTCTGTCTTACATTGTACAGTGGAAGAAGAGATTGCCTACCTGAAAGTTTCTCTACCTTTCCCAGCTATACTACTTAATCTGATAAAAGGACACTCGCATTACTTGCCTGTACTTAAGTTTTTACACAACTGCAAAAAAACCTATATTTCCTTTTAATTACTTCTTTGATGAGCTATTTAATATTCATCTTTAAGGACAATTTACTTCAACTTCTTGTCTTACTATGAGGTGAATGGCCTAACAGGACACCCTGTTTCTCCTCTCTGTACATAAAAAGAGCATGGGATAGATTCAGAATGTGAATTTTATATGCAAGGTCAGTATATTCAGAAAACCTTTCCAATTGGAGAATCTATAAATTGAACTCAGAAACATTTTTATTGTGCCAATTGGGCAGTGGCTGCAGCTGTACAGTTAAAAATAGAAAATGAACAACTATTAGAAATTAACATTGATGCAATTGTCAGCCAGCAATGACAAACCCATGCCCTGGCTTTTCATGACCCCTTGAAGGGGTGCAACTACTCCTATTTTTATAAAAAGCTCACCATTGGCTTATGCTAAAACAGCAAATAGTTTAAAATAATGTCAAATTATCAAAGCAGTTCAATTTCTACAATTATTTTGTCATGGCTAGATTATACATATATAAGTGCACATGGAAGAAATTCACAGCTATTGCATTCTTTAAATACATGAAGTTTAGGTTCATAAACCAAATTATTTTACTTTCAGACATCTGTCACTAAGAATGTGACTCCTTCAGACTTGATACAATTTCCCACTGGTGCTCAAATATGCATGTGTGGACACAAGCAAGAAGATTTTACTGAATTTTTTTTTTAATGGGAATCTTCCAGCTATCAGTTTTTGAACCCATACAGACACTAATGTGAATACTAACTAGTCCAAGTAGAAGACTACCATTACATGAATCTGCAGAAGAAAACTGGTGTTCTTCAGTGTGTAAATAACAAAATGGATTGGAACATGATCCAAAGTAACAGTGTTTATAAAAGCAGAAAAAATACTGAGACTTTTTTCATTCTTTCGGCTTTAAGCTATATGATGTCTACAGCTATTACATGTAGCTTTATAATATTAAGTAACCTACTGTCATGTCGTTTAATTACTATATTTTTTAACAGTTACTTTGTAAAACAAATGTGTGCACTTTAAGATATACATTTTCAAATCATAAACCACAGTTCTACGTCTATGGTTTCTATTTTCAGCAAGTTTAACCACAGATTATTCCATAAATTTATGTAAAAGTTGGAAGACAAAAAGCAGTCCTGAAACAGTACATTTCATTAAAAAAAAGCATGAAATATTTTGCTGTTAAAAGAATAATGGTTAATAATTTTATGTCAATAGGGATATAAATTTGAGTAAAAATTATCTGGTGGTGGTATGATCATTAAATAAAATGCTTCTGTTATACTTTTGAAGTACAAAATCCTTTGGAAACAGTAATTTTTACAGATTGATCATAACAAACCATTAAGTAGGAATTTTCATTTCTGAGGTAGTTAAAGGCTATTTGATATTCTGCAGTTTTTCTGAGGGTTTTTCATACAATAGAGAAGTGATATCCAAATTGCTTACTGGTATATATGACTACGATAAATGTGAACATACAAAATTAATTTTAATTCTGTAACAGAGGGTTAAAGATTAACTCATACTAGTTACTGGCATACCACTTACATGTATTTATAACAAATTCAGAACTATTAAAGATGCATATAAACTTTGTGATTTCTGAATTGTTGTAATGAAATAATGAGTTTATGAATCGTGTGTAACATTTCAAACACTATTTTTGTAAAATTATTAAGCCAGTATTTGTATAATTATTTCAGATAGATACATCTCTCAAGCTACTGATTCAAGTTCTTCAATCCACTAACTAGTAAACACAACTGGTGAAACAATCTCGTTGTTTCCTGCACTAGAGTCTTGCACTGATTTAGTGATTTCACACAAACCTTTAACTTTCTAACTGTGACACACAGGAACAAAAAAATATTTCAGATTATCTTTTCTGTTTTTGTTTTAAACTGATTGTGTGTTCAAACACTAAGAGTTTTAACCTGGATAGTGTTACAGTAGCTTGTAGTGTGGAAGGTCAAACACTGCCTAGATATGGAAGCAGCAGTTCCAAATTTTTGTTGGAATGCAATCTTCTGAACAGAAAAAAAATCTGTGCTTTTTAAAACATCTTCTTAACCTATTTAAATTTCCATGCTTAATTCTCCTCTGGAATAAGAGCAGATCATTTTACTGAAGTCAGCAGGTATGCCAAAATATGCTTCTAATGCAAACAGCAAAAGCATATCTGGATGTCCTGTTTTGCAAGCACATTATGCTAAAAAAACCCAACCCAACCCAAACCAAAACAAACACCAAAAAAACACCAAAAAAAACCCCAACCACAAAACCCCAACCAAAACCAAAACAAAACAAAAAAAACCCACCAAACCAATCAAACAAAAATATGAAGCAAATCTTCCCTTCCAATTTCTAGTAAACTCTTCAGTACATGCATATTAAAGTCATACACTTGTCAAAATATCAATCCAATATACTCATCCACCAGTGGCAACTCAGAAATAGTGATGTATTTGCACAGTACATCTCACCAGGCAAGTATCTCAGAAAACCCTCTGCATTATAGAGCATTAGCAGATACAGAACATTTTGAGATATATGTTTAATGCTGGTTTTTTTTGGCTGTTTTTTATATCCAATAAACTAATGGAGAACAGAAATGTGCTATGACCCTAGGAATTAGAAATGTACTACTAGATACATTAAAATATGGCGTATGAAGGTCAAAATCCAGAGAGAGACTACACTGATCCTAGCAGAAGCACTGCTATTTTAAACTGTGGAGTGTTCTACATTTTCTTTTGGTATACAAAAAGACACTACTCCACTGACAACTACTGAGAACTTCTACCACCTTTGTCCAAACAAAGCTTTGGGAACAGCTGGTAAGACACTGTTGTTTTCACTGACCACAAATGTTCTTTCAGGTGTACATCTGAAATACATACTTGGTAACACTTTGCTGCTTAAAGATTTCAGATGGAGGCTGTCTCATAAAAGCCCATGGCTTTTATACCCACCTACCCTCTCTTTTGAACAACCAAACAGCCACTCTAAGTAAAACAAAGTTCAAATGCTCAGTAAACCCTAAAAAAAAAAAAACAACCAACCCTAAGAAAAACATAAACAAAAAACCCCATAAAAACCATAAAAAATCCACACTGTTGACCTAACTAACCTAGCTTCCTCCTAAGAGATATACCATACAGACATAGTAAACTTCTCCTGATTACTATCAGTGGTGACAAGCAACCAAGAAATGCTTGGGGCAGTCACCATGACGCTTTTGGTTGGGCGAACAAAAACTCTAAGATCCAGATATATTTTCAGCAAATATGATTAATGAAAAATGTCTGAATAAATAGGGCACAGGTCCACTCACTGCAGAATATACACAAAAAGTATAAATATCTGATGTAACACTCAAGAAATATGTATGATTTTTAATTCAAGATTACAAGATTTGATATAGCATGGTAAAAGAAAGAGAACTAAAACTGCAAGCAATTATTTCAAGAAACAAGATACACAAAGTTACTGTGATACTTACCACTGTGAAATTCATAACCTTCAAAATCCATACTGTCATTGCTAAGTTAACAATCATGGTAACCAACAGCAGAAGGACAAAGAAGTATAAGCACCTCTTTCGCCATCCATAAATCCCTACTGGGTAAAACTGAGGATGTTCAGTCCTTGGAAGGCTGTTCTGTTGTGTTGCTAATATATACTGCTCTCGTGTCATCTGGAAAAGAAAAATGTAAATGTAAGTAAGCAAATGAGAGGTCTGTTCTTCAGAGATTTTGTTATCTGAAGTAGAATGTATAGAACATCAGTTTCTATGGGCACAAAAGCGATGCATTCATTCAGCATAAACCACGTCTTTATTTTTACTAGGTATTTAGTAAGAATCTGGTGTTTTTCATTAATTTAGAGTAAACCCTTGGTTTGATATTTCAAATTGTATTTACATTTCAAATTTATCAGCATAAACTGTAAAAAATATCAATGTAATTCATGTATGTATATTACATTCTATTTCTGAAGATTCTTTTATTGCCTTTTACGAGGTCATTTTGGAAAATCTGGTTTGGAGAAAAAAGCCATGTAGCTTTTTTTTGTACTGGTTTTGGCTTAGATAAAGGTAATTTTCTTCATAGTAGATTGTAACTAAAACCAGTACATACAAATAGAAAAAATCAATTATTTCTAGAAATGCATTTGTCATAATATCATTCTTTTAATATGCTTAAAAATTAATTTAATAATTTATGCCATTATACATACACTCGTATTTTACACAAAAGTATGTCATTGTGTATACTGTATTTTACACAGAAAGAAAACAAAATCCCTTCAAATCTTTAATTTTTCCCTTTAGGAAATATGGATACTACCAGCATCTGTTGTTTTCTTGACCCGGCTTAAGTTCTTCTAGCATACAAGGAAAGAGTAAATGTTTGCAAACTACCTAAAGAAGTTATCATCTTCTTTAAGAGCAAAAAGGTTTATGGCATTTCATAAGAAACCCATTCAACATTTTTTACATCCTTTACTTTCTTTTACAGATATGTATATTCATATTCAGCTGTCACACTGCCTTTACACTGGAAGGTATTAACTTTTCTCCATGACTTAAAAATAAAATTAAAGCAATCTCATTCTCTTTATGTAAAAGTTCTTCCTGAAACATGCCCATTTAAAAAAAAAAAAAAACAAAAAAAACCCTGGCTTTGTGCTCAGGAGAAGGAAGAAACCCTCAAACACAAAACCAATAAATACTCAAACCAGTCAAAAACACAACAAACTCATGCATATATACAGTCATAAGCAACCCAGAGCCACATGCTGAAGAAATTAAAAATAACTCCTGTGCTCTATTAATGAATGGGATTTCTAATTCGAATCCAAAGTAATATGGGATCCATTATTCAGTAACTACAAAGAGATTAAATGAGTTATTACACTGCACTGAACAAATATCATAAACAAAATAAAGGAAAATATCATACCACTGTAAACTATTTACTCATGTCACCACTGTACCTGAATATATTTTTCAGTTTTGGCTACTCTTACCCTTTAAGATCTTTTTCAGTACTGTGAAAAATATGACAGTGCATACTCACTAAGCACAGGTGAATCTGAGTAAGCACACAGCATGAAATCCAAATCAAGCCGATGACCTTTAAACTGTTGATATGTAGTATTGGAACAGGTAACTTAGACATAAAAGTAATTAAAGAATGGAGCAGGGACATTTTACATTTTCAAAGTTTATTTTAGTCTGGGAAAATGAGAGGTAAAAAAAAAACAAAACAAAAACAAACAAACAAAAGAGGTACATTTTCAAAGCAGAAAAATGAAAGAGAACACAATGAGCAAATGAACTATATCTAGAGGGTGAGATTGTTGGTATAATTCCTGAAGTTAGGATAGCAATCTACTTAAACAAAAACCATTTAGAACATGACTATACCTTGCAAGTAATTCTCTAGACAAACATCAATTTGCCTTTATGGCTAATGACTCTTTTCTAAGTGCCGCAAAAGAAGAATCAGAGTCAAAACTAAGGAATTAAATAAAAGGATAATTGTTCTTAATTAACTTGGTCAAACAGGAGAAGAAATCCAATATTTACTCTTAATGTCTGGGCAGGCAATTTAACTTAGAGCTTACTGAATTTCTGAAAAGAAAATTATATTATTTTGTGTATTTTGAAGACAAAAATAGGTTTTTACTTCTGGAGAAGTTCTACATATACTCTAAGCCTATGTCAATTCCATTCATCCTACATTTTTTTAGAAGCCACGCAAGAATACAAGTAAATGTGTTAAAAGGTAGATTCTTTACTATTTTGCACTAAAAAATGCCACATGGTAAATGACACATTTAGATAAAATAATCTTAAATGGTAGGGGTGGGGTGCCATGTGGTAACACCATCCCAATAAGGCAATTCAGTAATTCCTAAAGTGTGGTTGACTGAATAAAAACCGAGATTAATGCAGTAGCTTCTCCATGACACACTGAGGAGCCCTTAGGAAGATAAACTCTCTGCATGTACATCCAGCAGGTGGAAGGCTAAACTGGGTCCAATACCTCTGATCAAAGCACAAGATGCTTTAAGAAATGAAGATGACTACAGAAGAGTATGATTATACTTAACAGAAATAGCAGAAGTTCTCAGAGGGGTTTTACATAGGCTAATAAAAAACTAGTATATCTGGGGGTGGGGGAAGGTAGGAGGGAACAAAGGAACTTCATAAATGATTTGCCAGGATAACTACAATTTCCTTCAGATCTAAAACAAGCATTCTTCTCTCATAGTTACGTCTGGGACTGCAGTGTTTTTCCTATCCCAAATCTACATCTCAAGCAAGCAAAGCTCTTTACAGCAAGCAAGATCTGTGTTAGCATCATCATATATGTGAAGAATGGAAGCTCAGGGAGGGAAAGAAACTTGTCTACAGACAACGAGCAAACTAATGAAAAACTGAAGAACTGAATCACTTAAGTCTCATTCCTTTTTGCCTGACTTCCATTTGCCATTGCTTTCAAAGTTTTTTTCTGGTCTAGTGGCAACACAAGTTTGGGAGAATTACAATGAAAGCTGATATAAAGTTAATTTTTCTGGTTTATGTTCTCTCCCAATTTCTTTTTAGCTTTCTGAGAAGTTCAAGTTGAATGTCTCAAGAGTTCCACAATCCCTGCAGCAAATGCTGTAACTCAGATTGTTTAGAGACCCACAGCACTCTCTAATCTTACCCAGACCTTCTGCTAGCTTCAGTAAATATATTTCATTTGACAGTCCTTGCCATTAACCATGCTTTCATACTCCTGCCTTTGAGAAAAATATTATTCAGTAACACACTTTTTTAAAAAGTGGTTAATAAAGCCTGCCTGCATTCTCAAGGGTGTAGAACAGAAAAACCAAACTGAGTATGTGTGAAACATCAATACAATGATTAAGTGGTTTGAAATTTTTAAGGAAGAGTGCTCTTATTGCGAGCATGTTGATTCATTGGAATTTATTCATTTGAACAAACTGCCAATAAAATGGAGATGGATGCCACCAGACATTCACTCATACCTTGGGGGAACAGGAAAACCTTTTTTTTTTTTTTATGGTGAACCTCTAACGTTTTTTAGAACATTCAACATTTAGAACTTCAACACAAATACTTTATTTACTATATTTATATATGAAACAAAAATTAAAACATTACTTCTTTCCATGACTATTCTTTTGATAATTCTTATATATATATATATATATATATATATATATATATATATATATATATAT